TCCTCCAGGCTGGGGGCTTCGGAACGAGAACAACATTTGCCACCCACTCGGGATAGATCACCGGTCGGATGTGCTCGATCGCCGCCATCTTCTTGACTTCTTCCTTGACGAACTCGTGGCGGTCGGAAGCGAGGTGTCGGGTTTTTTGCACGACCGGCTTGGCGGTGGGATCGACTACCAGCTTGTGGCAAATGACCGTCCGGTCGATCCCGGGCATGTCTTCGGGCCCCCACGCGAAAACATCGGCAAACTCCCGAAGGGTGGCCAAGATTTCCGCTCGGAGCTCGGGGGTGAGGGCCCGGCCAATCTTGATCGTCCTGTCCGGTCGGTCCTCGGACAGGGGAACTTCCTCTATTTCCTCGGAAGGTTCTGGCTGTTCCTTCCGGTCGGCGGAGGCCTCTTTAACGATTGTGTTCACCCGGGAAGAGGTTCCCGTGTCCCGCCTATTTACGGCCCGGGTGTAACAGCTCCGGGCGGATTGGACATCGCCCCGGACAACACCGACCCCATTGGGAGTGGGGAATTTCATGCATAGGTGAGGCATCGAAATTATCCCACTGATCTTCATGATGGCGGGTCGGCCCAAGATGATGTTGTGGACGCAACGTAGGTTCACCACAACGAATTCCATCTTGGTCTTGATCGACTTGGGCGGGGTGCCGATCTCGACTGGGAGCATGATTTTTCATTCGGGGTGAATAAGGGCCCCGGTAAATCCCGACAAGGGTACGCCGACCGGAATCAGTTCGCGCTTGTCGAGTTGCAGCTTCTCAAATACGTCCAAATAAAGGACGTTGACACTGCTCCCAGTATCCACCATAACCCTTTGGACATCAGTCCCGTTCACATCGATCGTGACCACGAGAGCCTCCATACCGTGGTCGCCGCTGCTGGGCTGGTCGTCGATGGTGAAGGTTATGGGCTCCATCTTTTGCCTCTTCCCGGTGTCTCGGGAATCAACGATGGCGACCGGGCAGTTCTCCCTTGATCGGGAGGCATCATCCAATCCACCGAAGATCACGTGGATGGTCGACTTGCCTGTCGGTCGGCTGCTAGTCGGTGGATCTGGGTCCCGTCGGTCGTCCTGACGGCCCTGACCCGACCGATCGTCTCGTTCAGACCGATTGGAACGACGGTGGGATCGTCGACGATATCTTCGATCGGTCTCTTTGCTGCCTTCTTCTCTCTTACCCACGCACTTGTCCAGCTTTCCCGAGCTGAGCAGCTGGCGTAGCTGGACACACTCTTCGGTGTCGTGGCCGACGCACCGGTGGTAGGCACAGTGCTTATTCCTGTCCGGCCCGTCCCGACCGGGGTGGGGGAGCTTGATGAGGTTGCAGGATTGGGCATACTGCATGGCCTCAGCAGCGGATCGGTTCAAGGCCGTGAACGGACCAGGCCTGGTGCGGGATCGGGGATGGTCCTCACCCGATCGGATCTCCGCCCGGCCGGTCGGCTTAAGGAATGAACTCCCGACCTTCTGCGAACGCTTGACCGCGTTCGCCTCGCCAGCATTGGCGTAATCCGTGACCCTTCGGAGGGCCTCTTCGTACGTGTTCGGGGGGTGGAGGATGAAGTCCTGGTAAAGATAACCCGACCGCAGAGATATGTGGAGCATATGTGTGTGGCGGTGGCGTCATCCATCTGCTCGACCTCCCCGGCTGCGGCCTTCCACTTGACGAGGAAGTCGACCAAGCTTTCCCCCTCGAGCTGCTTGGCCTTTTCCAAGTATATGTAGGACTTCTTCACCGCCTTCGAGGTGATGAATTTCCTCACAAATTTGATCGCCAGGGCGTTGAAATCGGAGATCGAGCCCGGCTACAGCGATCGGAACCACTCGGCCGCCCGACCGGATAGAGTGGAGTAGAAGGCCCTGCACATGACGGCATCTGACACGCCCATCATCGACATGTTGTGGAAGTAGTCGTTAACATGGACCTCAGGGTCCGTGCGGCCGTCATAACTTTGATTCCCCTGGTTCTGGAGGTCGAGCGGGTAAGGCTGTGCCATCACGTCCGCCGTGAAGGGCGCTCTCACCAGGGTCGACTGCTCGACTCGGGGCCTGGCGGCGTGCTCATCTCTAAACCGAGCGAATTCCTCCTGGAGGTTGCGGAGTTGCCCCCGAGTCTCGTCGAGCTCGGTCATTTGAGCCTGAGCGCCTTCGCGGGCGCGCCTCCGACGATGAGACCTGGAACCACTGTGCCCGGACGAAGCCTCCTGGCTGATCTCCATCGCCTGCTCACCTCCCGAGCGCTGGCTCGTGCCTTGAGGTCCCAGGCGGTGTCGCATGGCCGGTCGGAGGCGGTCGAACACTACTGTCCGCTCGGGTTCCTCCGCTTGGGTCCGATAATCCGACTGCTCTTGCTGGGCCTGCCGTGGTGCCTCCATCGCGACTGCACCCTCCGACCCCAACCGCGAACGAGCCGAGCGTCTAGCCCGGGAAGAGGGCTGAGGCTGCGGCTCTACATGGGCGGTCGGATAGACAGGAGGGGCGGCGGTTGGAGCCGTGAACGCAGGCGTGTATGGTGGATAGCTGACCGGCGGCGTGTAGTACATCGGCTGGCCGGGCCAGTACCCGTATGGTTGAGGAAGGACCGGGTATGGATAGTGCCCGGGGTACTGGGGATACTGCTGGAACTGCGGGTGTTGGAACTACTGGTCGGGCTGACCGGGCTGTTCGGGAACATAATACCCCGGCTGAATGTAGTTGACCGGCTGCTGGGCGGCCGGGTATGAGGTTGACGGGTGTGGTGGAGAGAGATTGAGGTTGAGGTCAGCGGCGTGACCTTGTTGGTGGGACGACGGGTGATCGGATGAGCTGGCCTCATCCACCGGGTCGTCACGAACGACGTCTTGTGCCCACGGATACATGGTGCGGTAGAAAAGAGAACGAGTGCTCGCCAAACGGTAGCTTGTTCGTACGGGTCCCCACGGACGGTGCCAAAATGATAGTGTAAATTGCCACGTAAGCAGTAATGAACACAAGTCCGACCGAGTAAAGCGGGTAAACTTTATAAATCGGGTGAAAAGACCTAAGTACAATCTAGATAGCTGCTCGAGTGCCGATTGAATGCGGTCGGGATTCTCTGATAACAGCTTATCGATCGTCCAAAAGATCCTCTCACCGTCGCAATGGCGGGTATTTATAGACGCGACGCAGGGGACACGATCCGGGCTTTCCGGCCAGCCCGACGCGTGGCTTGGACACGTGTCGTCCCCTCGGGAGTCTTGCTGTCCCCGCCAAGTGCTGACGCGTGTCTCTCCTCAGCTTCTGTCCAAGGGTGGTCGGTCGGGAATTTAACACTCCGATCGGGTAACACCCGGTCGGGAACCGATCGGGTTCTTCCTGAGATTCCCGCCCCGTGACCTGCAAAAAGTGGAGGAAAGAGACAAGATGGGTCGGTCGGGTAGGGCCCAGGCCGGTCGGGGTAGGGCCCAGGCCAGTCGGGGTATACCCTATCAGAGATTTTTTAGGAATTGGGCGGGAAGTTAAAATTCCAGAATTTTGTTATTATATATAGTATAGAATAGATGTACAAAGGGAATTATTTTATTAAATTACAATTATATTTCTTAAGTAATGGTTATAAAAAAAAAAAAAATTCTTAGGTAATTTATTTATTTATTTTTTAAATTATATCTTTTGTTTTAATGTTTCGCTTTTACTGGAAAAAATTTCTGAATCGGTCCTACTTCGCCCCTTCTCAATCGAATTTCTGGCTCCGTCCCTGACTGTGTGTACATTATATTGTATAATGTACATTTAGTATATTAAAAATGTACTTTTTATTATGGTCCACGTAACACTATTTAAATTTCAATTCAGAATTATCCCCGGCCTTTCGGAGTTCCGGCTTTTTGCCGGAAATTTTGGAAAAAAATTTAAATATGATCGTCGGCCATTGGCCAACTGTGTCTATCGTTCAGAATTCTATTGTACAAAAGGTAAAATTGCACAGTGAAATGTTAATAGTGATCATATTTTTGTGTAGTATTCATGTTAATTCCTCTCATTCTATGAGTACTTCAATACTTCTACAATTCTACTGTAATATTGTTTGCCTCTTTGCTTCTCATTTATACATTCTTTCAAACTTATCACTTATCACAGAATTAATTCCAACGAGATCTCTGACTATTGTGATTTACTTAAAATGGTCATCTATTTAATTTTTTGTTCGATTTATTCCCCTAACTACTTAAACGTTACCTTGTTAGGTTCTACCGTTAGTTGTCCTTCAAAATGAGGGATAAGATGTTATTTCATCCCGTTCGCGCATATGCATGTATACATTCCAGCTCTAAAATCCATAATGAAATTCCTAAATTTGCAGTTGTACTTGTCATGAAGCATCGAAGACCTCTATCTCTATGGTTGTTAAGAGTTCTTGCACAAGGGTTTAAGACACTATTAATTGCCTGTGAATATTTTAGTTTTTAATAATCTTCTATTATAATATAGCAGAAACTATAGTTCCCGCCAAAAGTAATAAAAAAATAAAAAATAAATAAAATAATATATATTGAATTGAATATATTGAATTAACAAATGCAATGTCGTGTCTATTCAGAATCCAAGTCTGTTATAAAATAATAATAATAATAAAATTGAATATATTGGATTAACAAATGCAATGCCGCGTCTATTTAGAATCCAAGTCAGTTCAGAATTCAAATCAATTCAAGTCTGTTCAATGAAGAATTAAACAAATACATTAAAGAATTAAATACATTGTTGATACAAAATTAAATTCTTCAATGCCTTTTTCAAAAAAAATTCTTCAATGCCTATGTCTGTTCAGACTCCACGTCTGTTCAGAATTCATCAAATCAAATCAAATACATACATACATAAAAATAAGGATACAACTTTTGGGATTACTAACGTAAATATGGAACAATTTGATTCCTTAACAATTCTATAAATAGTGAATTACAGGCCTATGCATTCAACCACACGTTGCTGAACAACAAGTAATATCTCTCATCTCTCATACAGTATGTATCCAATGTATGTTCTTGGAAGTGATATCTCACCCTTCAATGTTACGAGTGCAATGAAGGTTCGCGTTATTCGTGCATACAATGTATCGGAGAGGACAGGAAGCAATGCAATCAGATGCAAGGAAATTGTGTTTCATGATTCTGAGGTGATAACAGATGCAAGGAAATCAATGCAATCTCATATTGAATATAACACTGTTTAATTTCAATATTTATATATTTATTTAAATTTCAATATTTATATATTTATATATATATATATATATATATATATATATATATATATATATATATATATATATATATATGCAGGGAACATTGGTACATGCCCACATCCCAAAACAATTGGTTCCAAAATTCATTAACAATTTTAAGGAAGGTTCAGTTTGGGCTGTTAAGAATTTCTTGGTCATCAACAACTTCTACACGTACAGGACAACCCCTCACAAGTACATGATCAAGTTCAATTACCAGACTATAGCTAAGCAATTCAAAAGAATTGAGTTTCCAAGTCAGATGTTCCGTCTCACACCATTTGAGGCTCTAAAAGTTGAAGGTGTTAATGATAAGCTGTTGGTTGGTACGTATATTATGTTGAAATTACCTTTTTTTTTTAAAAAAAAATTATTTTTATTTTCCAGTGTGTTAAATTTTGTTTTAAATTTCATTACAGATGTAATTGGAAAAGTGGCTGAAATATACTCACCTCAAGAAAAAATGATTTCTGGGAGAACAACTCGGCTTATAGACTTTATCATTGAGGATTTAAGGTAATTATTTAATATATATATATTTAAATCTGTATTATATATCAACTCAGGAAAAAATGATTTCCTGGAGAACAACTTGGCTTATAGCCTTTATCATTGAGGATTTAAGGTAATTATTTAATATATATTTAAATTAAGAAAGTCAAGTTGTTAATGAGATAATGTTAAGGGAAAAGGGAGACCAAATCTTAGTCTGGTCATGATTGGTTGGATCAATCACCATGCCTGGTGGAAAATTAAGGCATCAATTTATTATAGGTTTATCACCACTAAAAATCATTTCATAATAATATTATATCAACTTGAAAAGAAGTAGGATGTGCAATGGTGAAAGAGTAACGGAACCAGTGATCTCAACAGTTAAACAAAGGCACTCAAATGGAGACTTACAGTAAGAGGATTGCCCAAAGGGTTCCCAGTCTGTGGATCCCAGCATATAAGCTCCCCAATTTTACTTATCAATTATTAAATCTATATCTATATATAAAGTTGGGTACTTATTTATTTTTTGGTATTAAAAGTTTGAGAAATCTAATTTCCCTCAACTTTTACAGTGGAAATCAGATTAGGTGTACTCTATGGGATGATCATGTTGGTAAGATTGAGCCATTTTTTAATGCAAGTAGTCATGAACCAATGGTGGTGATCTTGCAGTTCTGTCGAATTAGGAGAGATGCCACGAGTAAGTACATATATACTTATATATACACTATTCTGTGTAAAATATGTGTAACATTTGTTAAATGTCTAGATGGCGAGGTGAGGCTTTGCAGCTCATATGATGTGACACAAGTCCTTATTAACCAGCAATCTAAAGAGTTTTTGGAGTTTAGGGAGAGGTAAAAGTAATTTATTTTTAAGTATTGTACTATTTTTTTTAAAAAAAATTGTTTCTTATGACTTTACTATTTTTAGTTTAATTCTTCGTGGTGTGCAAACACCCATGAGGAGCATTGAATCCTTTCCAATGATGGAGCAGACCCAATGTAATGCTCAAGATATGAAAACTATCAGTGAAATTTACCAAACCAGAGAGGTAATTGGTTTGTGTTGTATAATAATAAAAATCTACTGTATTAGGTTTTAAAATATATAAAAACCTAATACAGTAGAGCCACAAATGGTGTGAGATTATAGCAACTATCCATGCAGTACTTATATGCATTTTACAACTTTTTATGCTATAGTATGGGGACTACTGGGTTGCAGCTAGGATAGTTGCTATAGAGGATTCTGTCAATTGGTATTACAGTTCATGTAGAGCTTCTAGCTGTAACAAGAAGCTTGAGTCAACAGGTGGGCTATATTACTGTACAAAGTGTGAAAAGAGCTGTCGAGAAGGTAATTTGAGATACAGGTTGAAGATCAGAGTTGCAGATTTAGAAGGAAATGCACCTTTTCTCCTTTGGGACAGAGAGTGCAATCAGCTATTGGGAATTTCTGTTGCAGAGTTGAAGTCAAGGCATTCAAATGTATATTTTTATAACATTTTAGTTCTGGGAATATATATAAATGTATTTTACAGTACGTGTTGTTGTGTTGTTGATTCTTAACGGGAGATTTATTTTTTATTGTTAGGCAACTCAACTGATCCCATCAGAATTACAATCCTTGGTTAAACAGTGCATGCTATTTAGGGTGGTCGTTAGGAAAGAACAATTTGAGAATCTCGACAACGTATTTTCTGTCATGAGGATAAACACTGACCAAAGATTGATTCAAGTGCATGCACCAGAGCTTCTGCGCATTCCTGACAAGTATTTGAGCTCCAAAGTTGACCAAATGGTGGAGGATGATGATTTTGAGGAGGTACACTTTATGTTATTTTATTGTAACGATTATTATGTGCAAATAATAAGTTTGATTTTTTTTTTAATTAGGAATTTGTTGAGGTTGATGAAGGGGAAAATCTTCTTGGGGTTGGTGTTGCTTGCAATCAAGATGATGTGGGTGATAGTTCAGTTGTAAAGAGGCGCCTTCTAGACGAGTCTTCATCAACCCAGACATCAAAGAACAAAGGGATTAAGGAGGAAAGTGATTGAATATAAATTGCTTTGCTGAGGTTTCTGATGCATGTGGACCAGGATGCCTGTTGGCATTTTATCTTTTTTTTTTTTTGGTTATTGGGTTACAAAGACAGTATGATGCCTTTTGGCATTTCTTTTCTTTTTTAATTTTGGTTACATCTGCTACTAGGGTCTTTGGTGGCTCAAGGACAAAAAATGGTACATGGATCTTTTAATAAATTGTGCCTGACTCAAGGATCGTTTTGCTTATTTACCGTGGTTTGAAAAATTTATTGTTTTAAAATATTTGTGAATTGTGAATTTGTGAATATTAGGTTTGATTATCAAGTTTTTCAATCACCTCCTCTTCCAAGTAGGTGGTTGCATTGTAATCAAATTGTTTGGATTGTTGAATATTTTTTTGCAGTGAGTTCAAGTATTCCTAAACATATATAGCAGATGTGGTGATTAGCTGATGTGATGATTTGGTGATTAGAGTCCATGGTGAAGAAATTCCTGTGGATCTATAATAGTCCATTGTTTTTACATCGAGTGAGAAGCAGAAATATTTATAGATCTATAATAGATGTTTATAGAGAGTCCATTATTTTTTTTTCTTCGGATGTATAAATGTGTAGATTATTATAGTTTTGAGTTATACAATATTGTAAAGTATTGAAAATAAGTACTTTTGAATGTATAGATGTATAGATTATTATTGAAAATAAGTACTTTTGATAATTCTCATGATTGAAAATCTCAAATTAGTGCAACAATATCCTCAAATGATGTACTCAGAACATTACAATTAGCTTTTGTAAAAAAAATTTACAGTCTAAAACTTAGTAATAAAAGACAACAATATAAAGTTAACTAATGCTGTGAAAAAAAATAATGTGCAACAATGTGAGTAAGAGGCCGAGAAATGGGAATTTCTAATTGACATATATGTTAATGAGCAATTGAGCATAGAGTGTATGTATAGTGTATAGTGAGCTTACAGGAGAGTGGTATTTCCTTCCAAGCCTCGCATGCCCTTTGCCGTAGTTTCTCGAGAGGGTAAACACCAGCCACGCAGAAATTAGCGGGATCCTCATGCCGCATTGTGTACTCCTTTAGGTATATCGGCTTGGCACAGTTTCTCGAGAGGGTAGACGTCATCCATACAAAAATTAGCGGGATAAATTATCAAAATATCTCAAAACTAATATTAAGAATTCTATGACAAACTAAGACAAGCAGCAAACTACTATGTTGTCTGAATGGAGTAGTTTTAACAGAGCTGACATTGTAAGAGAATTGTGCAAACTTACTTAATGGTTGGGGGAGAGTTAAGTGTTTGCATAGACCGTCAATCCCAGCATCAATGATGGAAGCCAGACCGAGGTATGGGTTTGCACATCCGTCAAACACCTTAACCTCAAAGTCGTTAAAGCCATTCGGAACTCTAGGTGAACTGGCTGTTCTTAGATGATGAGTGCACTACACCGTGCTTTCTGAACAAGACACCAAAAGACAAACAGACGAAGATTTCGTCTCAGAACTGAAATAATAAATATTTTTCCTTTAATATCACTAAGATGAACAGATGTTATGCTCAGGTTATCAACAGAAGTACACAAATATAGAGGATTAAGCAAAACCATCTCAGAAAAATGAGCTTTACTCTGTAATTTTAGGAAACACCGAAACACAAAACCTCACCCCTCAAAGCCCCTACCCTCCTTCCCGACTCTAACTCCCCATACATGCTCAGCACAGATAAGCAGGTTGTCAATTGAGCATCACATCACTCAATAATGGACAAGAACGCTGGAACCATCTGGACATGGGCATAAAGCCATAAATACAATGGAAGTTTACACTCACCAATACCCACAAATTTAGGCCCAAGTTACACACAGATGTGGGGTTTATTTTCATAGTATGGGAGATAGCTGCCAACATGATTGTCCTAAAGACAGTAACCTCAAAACGACATTGAGATCATCTTAAGTGAAATACTAAAAGCTTCTTCATTTAGCACTTTATTAAGAGAGTTATTAAATATAAGGGCCTAAGGGGAAGCAAAATGCTGAGCAGCAATATTAAACGGTAATAATAAAATTCAACATTCACTTTCTAAATTCATAACATTCACGGTAATGGTTGACATCAACTCACTATGTATGCACAAAAACTGGAGTACCCATATACTCTTCCACCCTTCTCCATTTTTATCTTTGTTTTCCTTTTCAGAAGGAAAACTGGAACATTGAAAAAATTAAAGAGAGCAAATAGAGATGATGGGTTAGGTATGCCATGGTTTAGGAAGTTTACCTGCAATCGAATGTGAGGCCAGTCTCATTTTCCTTCCAAGGCTCCCTCCCCTGCCATATAATCTCGGCTGTGGACTGCATCAAATGCAACCGTTAATAAGGACTAATAAGCCACAAACTGTTCTCGGGCAGCAGAAAAAACTAAACAAATGTTCTAAAACCTTTGCACGCGAGATTAGACTTGCAAAACATTGGTCATAAAATAATATTTTAGAATTTTTACTAAAATATATTATTTTCACGGTCAAAAAATACTAATTTTATTTTCGACATTTAACACTGCAAAATATGAATAGGCAACACAATTAATAATCAAATTGGTATTTAGAATCCAACTATTAGTATTCCACTAACTGAACAGCTGCTATAAATCTAAGCTATCACTACTTTAAAGCTATTTAGTGAGAAATGAAGAAACTTACAGGTTCTGTTTGTATAGGATCCAAGCGAAGGACTGCTGAGAACCACAGAGGTCAGTCTAACATTCATCTCTTCTTAAAGCATTATAAGTGGTGTAATAGAAGTACGAAAGCTATGCGGAGTACATTCATCCCTATCTCATCAAATCATCCCAATCCTCTCTCTCTCTCTCTGTTACCCGCCTCAGTTGCGATCTGACCATTTCCCATACTTTTCATGCTGATCTGACTATTTCCGCATTGAACAACCCGAACCCGTGGATGTTTCGTCATCCAGTGATCTCAGTCTCACCCTGGACCTCCCCTCTAACCGAACCAGTGGATTCATACTTCATAGTGAAATCTCAGAATATTTTAGGATCTATGAACTTGAGATGTGAAAAAATACATAGATCCACAACCTTGAGCTTTCCAAAAAAACATATCCAAGTAGGAGAAGTAGAAGCATCTTCTTCGTTTTGAAAAGTGTAGAGAGAGACAGAAATGGTGAAATGAGAAGCTTCCCGAGAGACATATCTATTGACTATCATTTTCTTTATTACTCCGTATTATTATTATTATTATTATTATTATTATTATTATTATTATTATTATTATATTATTATTATTATTATTATTATTATTATTATTGGCGTGGGGATTATTGTTAACATTTTTTTTATTTAATGTATTATTTACTTTATAAAAACTATAATTACCATTTTTTACATTGTATAAATAATATTAGTCAATTATAATATTACAAAACGAATGGATAGAATTTTAATAATATTTCTTTTGTTCATCTATTTATATTTCTGGGGGTAATATTTTTTGGTCTTTGGGTCAATAAATTACATTAAATAAATCACAGTAATACTTTATTTAAAAAACATTCGAACCAATCTTTTTTATACATTTATTTTTCTATTTAGTTATAGTTAGTAAGTTAGTATTATTATTAGAACATAACAATATTTATAGAATGTTATTTTCTTTTATATTTTATAGTATTTAATTATTTAATTATTATTACGGTATAAAATAAAAATTATAATTTCCATTTGTAGTCAATTTCCTTTGCACTTATCTGTAGATAACATTAAATATATTGTTATATATATATATATATATATATATATATATATATATATATATATATATATATATTTATTTATTTATTTATTGTTTATTTTCTCAGAGAATGAAATTGTGTCAAGTTCTAAGATAAGTAAAGCTTCAACCAGTGGAGGTCTATGTGATATTACAACACGAAATCATATCTACGGTGTATTTCAAGCATCACTCTCTACCCCGTTGCGTATAGTTTCTCACGGTTAGACTTAAAGTCTTTTTTTTTTTTTTTTTTTTTTGTATGTTATTTTTTGTAATGTGAATTATTAATTTTTTTAATGTCATCATTTGTAGAACGCACATTAATTAGTTCATCAATCCACGACATACATCATGCGTCAGACAATGGATCATCTACACGT